ATTCAATGTTAAAAAAGATGTAAAATACATCACATTGCATCCCGTTCCTCAGTGGCAAAGTGCAAGCTCAGCAAAGGTGTGTCACAGATACACACTGGAGCAGTCATAAAGGGTCTCTCGTGAACACAGTTTTGAAACTCAAGTGATAAATGGAACAACCTTCAGTCTTTAGCACATAGGACACACTGTAAGTTCACAAGACCACAAGTGCACATGAAGCATTTTGTCTAGGACTGGATCTTTGTGTTGGAATGAAATTCAGCAGGACAGCCTATGACCCTCCAGAAGCTGAAAATGACACCTCTGATGTAATTACTCCAAACCAGCCTGGCTTTTCAGCAGGGATGCTAACAAACTCTGATCTTGTTTAAAACATCTGGTAAACAATGGCACGCGTCCATTATAATATTTGCATTTTTCTTTTTGAAATCAAAGGAATTTAGCTGAAGTCCTGAGTGAAGGAGTCCAGGATAAAAGATAATATCATGGGTTCTTGTAGTCTGAGACTTGGCTACAGTGTTTACATGCTTGAATTGAAAAGTTCCACGTCTAGTTTAGTGAATGATTCGCTTGATAACTTTGAGTCTGTTTCAAACTGATTAATTATAAAGTTTAAGACTTACTTGAACCATGAATTTTAGTGGCAGTTGCTCTTTTTTTAAATTGTTCATATAAAATGGGGGTGCAATGGTATGTAGATACCATGGCTTGATACATACCTCATGTTTGGATTCACGTGTCACATTAAACATGTACCATTGTTCATTTGAGGTAATTAAAACACGCTGTTACTGTGTGACACATATATATCTTTACATATAGCTCATTGATGGATGATTAGTGCCATGAAGTATATCAAGCAAGAGATCTATGTGCACTGTTTTATAAACAATCCCACATGGAAGGCTGGAAAGTTACATTGAAACCTATTAGAAACGTGTTTAACATATCAAATAATATAGGCCGTAATAATAATAATAAGCCATAAACGTCCATTCAGGGAAATTAAGGCAAGTTTAGTTTATTAACAGAGAGAGGTTGCCACTCAAATGAAAACAATAATTAGAAGTACAGGATGTTAAAATAACATAACCCGTCATTTCCACTTGCATTTTAGTTGGTTTCAATGTAGTTTGTACAATTGAATTTGTACAATAGAACTAAATAATTAATTCATTCATTTTCCAACCCGCTTATTCCCTTTTTGGGGTCACAGGGGTCTGCCGGTGACTTTCAGGGGTCTGCCGCACATTGGGCGAGAAGCAGAGGTACACCCTGGACAGGTCTCCAGTCCATCGCAGGGAAACATTCACCCACACATTCAGACTTAAGGGGAATTTACCTAACCGCATGTTTTTGGGATTGTGGGGGAAACCGGAGTACTCAGGCAAGCAATGGGACAACATGCAAACTCTATTCTTTTCAGTGATCGCTTTCTGCCAAACTCTAGCGATTGGAACATTTTGCCTTATATGCGTTTACGGATTGGTCATGTTTCCACTCACACACTGCACATATGCATTACAGCGCTGATGTCATTATACCAAAAATTCACTCTCACCTTGGATATATTTTGGATTTTGGAGAGAGTAAAATAGTTTTGAAGGTGACATTTGAATTATACACATAATGGACATGAGGTGGGAGAAACATCACACACAGACAGGAAAGGGGGCACTCTCATTACATTATGTGTATACTTTGTAACAACATCTGCAATATCTAAACGGTTTAAATTATTTTTAATGGGTGCAAATAACTGTTTTACTGTATTAAAACCAATGAAAACTTATCTAGCTCTTGTGAGAAGTGGATAAAGCTGTTGGAAAACCAGTTTTAAAACAAAACACCAAAACATTCCCTGTGGCTTGGTGGTCCATGACCTTACACAAGCTTCCTTAGGTAGACATTGTGCTCCCTCAATCTATATACATTAGAGCATGAAAAATTTCCCTACTTACGCAAATAACAATAATTCATGGATGGTTACTCAAAAGTTCTTAACCATTAGTAGAGTACACTGTAATCTTCCATTCTTGTACAGAGTTCTGAGTGGGTGTTTGAGGTTTTTTTTCCTTCTGAGGTCCGGTTTGATTAGACCCTCGTTGGCTGAAAAATCAATAGCCCCAGTCGCTCACAACTAACCGTCTAAGCATCACAATGTTTCACCCTCACACTACAGACACAGCTCCAGTCCTTTTTCAGCAAGATAACATGCTCTCACAGTGACGGCAAAAGAACAAGTTGATTTGTCAACTGCAATTTAGATCCCTCCCAGAGACACCCATTCCAACAGATTGGCTGATCTGAGGTCAGTCCTGGTTTCACTGCTTTGAAGTTGCAGCTGTGACTTCTCTCCATCACATAAGCTTTTCTTTGCACTGCAAGTGTTTGTCTAAACCTGGACACCACTCTCAAAAGCAGTCTAAAAGCTGTTAAGTTCAACTTCCAAGATGAAGTCCTGCTCTTCGCAATAATGCTGGACTCGCAGAGCGCATCTGTATTCAGACATGTCACTGGAGCTGACAAAAGATTAAACATGACCACCTAATCTGTATTCTGTATGCATTCTTGCAAAGGAACGGAAGTCTTAACATGTGAGGGAAGCTTGTATCAGCCATTTCATGAGCTCTGGGAGCCCTAGGGGAGAGTTGTGGCCTGAGATGTGCCCGCCATCTTAGCTGTAGAGACCCTGACCTAGGCAAACCCCCTCCCCCTCCCCTGCCATTCTCAGACACAGTAGAGATCAATAAGACCACAGGCTTGAGTGTTCCGGCTGCTTGGATACAGAAGTCAGACTAAACCCACTACAGTGCCTCTTAGGGAAGAGAGCCTGGCTTGTGTCTTTCAAGGATTAATAATGCCACTCTGCTCAAGGCGTACATATCCCAGCCTGGATTCTGATCAATGGCAGAATCTTTCTGTATTTTGATTTGCTCATTACACAATTCATTATCAAACTTCTAGCCTTGAAACACCCTCCACTTTGATGCCGTTATGGTTTAAACTTGGTGTTATAAAAAAACCAAGTTAGTCTTATTAAGGAAGTGACCCTCATTAGATCTTTTGGGTTCTTCTTCAATCCTTCACAGGTCTCAACTCTAGAAGCCCACTGAGTGAGACCAAGAGCACTTCTTCTTCTTTGTCAGCCCTCAGTGACTCCCTCAACAGCTCTGAAGGTGGAGATGTTGCCCAAGGTAATGAAGAACTGAAAAACCTATTAGCTCCGCCCTCATCTGTATGCAGCCAATCAGGCACAGGAATAGAGGACAAAGCTGAGAAAGGTTGGATATTCTCCTTTATTCTGTAAAAGCATGGATGTGATGAATAATCTTGACTGTGAGAATGTTCTTTATATCCATGTTCTGATGCTGAAATCTATTTGTGCAGTCAGGTGGGGGATCAAACAAATAAATTGCTTTATAATGGTTTGGATTTTAAGTTTAATAATACATTTTTGAGTTGGTTTCTTTCTAATTTATTGCAAAAATTAGATGTTTACAATGTTTACGAACCAGTTCTATTTATTTATTTGTTCATTTACTATAGTCAAATTTGCAATTAACTAAATATATTGAATATATGTAATAAGGATTATTTTTTTAAGCTGTCTTTATAAATAACTTGAGTTTTACTTACCAGAAGTTAGAAGTCAATGCACATTCATTTTCATGATGAAATATACATTGTATAGTATTTCTATTTAATATAAAATTTGCAGCGTCTATGTCAGATGTAGAATTGGTATAGTTTTTAAAATATTTTGTTGTGTTATTCATGCTAGACACAAGCAGGGCAGGTTAAATGGGCTGAAGGCCTCTTCACACCGATTTGAATTGAGATTTCCTCAAATTTTCAGATGGCTTCTCATCTGGGTCAAGGAAATATTTATGCAATGATGCTCCCTGCCTCAAGATGGCATCTGTGGTACAACAGATGCACTTCTGTCTTTTCTCCACATTTTTGGAATGTTGGTGGCTTATCACAGGAAGCCGATGGACAAAAATGTGGAGAAAAGAGAGGATTTGTGGTGCACTATTTCTTTCGCGTTCCCCGTTCGTCCCTGAAGGTTGGTATGAAAATGTGGGATGAGCGCCATCGAGCGGCTCTTTTACGTCCTACTCACATCATCAAAAGAGCCAGCTTTCATTGGTCGTTCTCCTTGCGAAAAACAGATCCAAAATTTTATCTAAAACTCTTTTCTGTTGGCACACTCGTTCGGTCAGATGTGTCAGCCCCGTTGACACCTTTGGTTTTCGATCGAAACACGTTGTCACACAAAACTTTCGACCAAAAATTCAGATAGGTGTGTAGAGGCCTTGAGAAATCCATGCAGTACATTTTTACAATGTAAAATTCAACACATTTGGACATTTTTACCACTTATGATATGTTTCAGTTTAAAACAAACAAAACTTTGTAAAGCCACATGTATAAATCAAGCAACTTTAAAGAAATAATTCTCTCCCCCCATCCCTCCCTCCCTCTATCTTTCTCTTGTAGGTTTTGAATGCGTCTTTTGCAACTTTGTGTGTAAAACCCGACCCATGTATGAGCGGCACCTCCAGATCCACCTGATCACACGCATGTTTGAGTGTGACGTCTGTCACAAGTTCATGAAGACACCTGAGCAGCTCTTGGAGCACAAAAAGTGCCACACCGTCCCCGCTGGAGGGCTCAAGTAAGGAAAGCAAGTATAGCAATAGCCCAACATCCCCACCCACCCAACCCCTTGCAACCTCCAAAAACACCCCCTCCCAACCCCAGCCCCTCCCTACTCAAGTAAAACTATCACCAGATTGAAATTATTTGTCCCTACTGGTCCAGATTCGAGCAGAGCATCAGGGTAAACACTACTTAGACATGATCTGTGTAGTACCAGAAAGTAAGTTACTTTTAAAAAAAAGTATGTGTAAATCTGACAACACAATGCTAGAGGTTCAATTTTTTCCAAACCTGTGTTTCATTTAATCGGAGGGATGACATTTTTTTTTGACAATGTTCACCATGGTTCAATCAGTAGAGCATTGTGGTAGAAACGCAAAGATCATGGATTCAAACCCCACTGAAAACAAGAACTGAAAAAAATGTCTTTAGTCCTTGCAATGTAAGTCGCTTTGGATAAAAGTGTGTTCCAAATGCATAAAATAAAAATATTAAAATTGAACGTTTTCTGATAATAGAAAAAAATGTAAGCGCATCTAAGTACACGTACAATTTTCTTTCTATCAACTTGACTTTTAACTAAACATTGGAAAAGGAACACTTCTGTTGAAAATTGACCAGAAAGTGCGAGAGACTATTTCTAAATATGTACAATGATTAGACTCAAATAGTATCCTTCAAAATGTTAAAAAATATGTAAAAGTACAAAAACTAGCTGTAAATTATGGTGCGATTGTTTAGTCAGGGTCTGGATTTAGATGGTTTTTGAGATGATTGCAGACTTAGCTTGTTATAATAATGCCTTTGCAGACATTGTGTGCTAGTCTCTCTGACTTGAAGACAGAATGGAAGTTCTTCATGAAGAGGATAATAACGAATTGGCAAGACGTGTAAGTCATGATCTCCGGCCTCCTCAGACAGACCCATGCATCTCGTATGTGTATATAAAGGGAAAGAGAGAGAGAATGCTTGATTGAGTTAAACTCTGTCCTGCAGTTCAGCAGTAAACTACACGCAGTATGATGTGATCTTTGTAATCACAATCTGCAAAATTACTGTAAACAGAGAAAGCATTGTTGTGTTCCTTTAGTATCTAAAAAAGATATAGACTATATTCCTGTTTTACTGGGTGAATATTTAATGGGTACCCAGAAGAAACACCATCATTTAATCGGCTTGGCGTGTACTTAATATGAACATAAGAAGTCGTTTAGGAGTAAATAGTTAACGTCTGTTAAGAGTCCTTGGTTAATTGTCAAGTGTTGGGTCTGATTAGTAAGTATTTTCTGTCACATGACGGTTCTGAATATGAGAATGAGAATCTGAATTGGCTGATCATATCAAAACAATGTTTTATACATTTATTGAGCCAGTTAGAAATGAAATGCAGGTTTGGAAAAACTTAATTTGTATATTTACTTTTGTGGAAAGTATTGAGCCATTTGTTCTCGGACTTCATTTAAGTTTGAAGAGTCAGCACTCCACTGCTTTGCGATATAGATCACGAAACGAGACCCTTTTTCCAAACCCTGTGATAGACATTACCGTGAACGGTCGAGGCCCAATGTGAAAATCCCTTCGAAGAAATCAAAACAAGCTAGTCAGCGCTAGTCCATCTGTTGAGCAGCTCCACTTGCCAAGACCATTAGGCTACAGTTCACACTGTTCTTTCTCAGCCTGTCAGAACCGCCAGCACAGTTACAACAACACATTTCTACACAATCAACATTCATCTGAAGACCAATAGACTCTCACTCTCCGCACACTGACCCCCACATTGATATATAGATGTTTTCTGAAACTCAAAGTCCAGTCTTTGATATTTTCTGTTGTATTTGTCTAGTTGTTTGACATACATAATTCATGTCTTAAGATCATGTATTTCAGATCTCATTGCCTCATCTTGTCATTTATGGCTATGCTTTCTCATGCTGTACACGTGCTGGCTTGAAGTTATCATTCATTAGAGCGCTTAGCCGAAGCAGGAGAGAAAACATTTATTAGTAGCTTATCAGCATCATCTGTAGCTGTGTTTCTTATAGCAACACAGACGTTTTGATAAAAGAAGTGTGAGACGTATCATTTGTAAATTATTCATTACAGATTTTGGTTATTATTTTATATTAGAGTTTAAAGTAATGATGACTGGCATGAATTCACATTTTCTGTTTCCGATGATCGATGTATAAAATTGCTGCAGGATTAGCAAAGTGGTTAGCATTCAGGCTTTACATTTTTTACCTAAATGTTTAATACTTTCGAGTGCATTTCAAATGTGGGTTTTATATTTTGAATCTGTCGCGGTTGAGCTACTCTGTGTTTTCGACTACTTACAAATCACTGTATACTATACTTCTTTCTAAAAAAAAATGTCACTAATGTCTGCTATGAATATCACACATTAGGTGTTATTATTTCGGAATGAACTGTATATGTTTTTTTTTTTTATTCAGGTAACCCTTTTCTAGTTCAAAATTCTATGTAATTAATTTTTATTAATTACTTAATTTTGGCAATGGTCCTTTTTCAGTTTGCCAGGTCACTTAATGACACTATATGCAAGTTATTTAAAAATGCTTTTCAGAGTTCAAATCCCTCCCATCTCCCAGCAAATGCTTGACGGAAAGTTGGAAAGGGAAAGTTGTCTTTGGCATTGAAAAAAAAAAAAAAATTATATATATATATATATATATATATATATATATATATATATATATATATATATATATATATATATGAAATTTTGAAGAGGATTTGAAAATTTTGGCAATGGGGGGTTTTGGTGGGGCTTTCAGCTTTTTCCAAAATTAACCTTCAATATATAACGTCATTGGGTATTTGCTTTCAATATAACCATACTCCTATACTGTATTTTCAAGACTTGAATGAACGGCCATCACTGTGCATCAAACATTGATAAATGTTACAAATAAATAATGGCCTTGTGTTATAAAAAAAAATCTTCAGAAGAAGACAAAATGAATGCACAAAAATTACAATACAACATAAACGTTACTGACATTTACGAAAAATGACTATGGCTAATTGATTTCTAAAAGGAAATGGAATTTAGTGTTAAATGATGCCAAGTAACTCGTTCAAATTAGCTCCACAATTTGTTGGCTAACACCACCACTAAACGTATTTTTTAGCTCATCATGCAAATTTTTGGGGGGCTTGATGAACCCCCTGAGATGGCAAATTTAGTGCCAATGTCGTGCACTTCAGCACAAAATGGTCAATGCAAGCACAAATTCCAAACAACTAGCGTTGATTTAAGTGGATCAACTTTCTGACATGAAGAGTGTGCTTGTTTTATTTTGTAAATGAGAAAGAATTCTGAGTATTTCCGAACTAACTTTCTTCACAATTGTTTGCGAAACAACGCTCTCCCAAGCATTTTTTTCCTTGGCTTTGTAAGCAGACAAGTATGATACACATAGATTTCCGAAGTGCCTCCTTGATTAACTTAAATCTATTTCTGTGTTAGTTACACTCGGTGTGTCGATTTGCATGTTCGCCCTTCTCATCGCCGATGAAAAAGATAAGTCTGAGCGTGAAACCTCCAAACTTCCCGAGTACTTCAACCGTACAGATTCACACTATAAGATCAGAAATCCCACAAGTGTGCAACTACATAAATGATGACAACTGAGGAGAGTGTAGCTGTATAATAGCTGCTCTTTGAGTCAGGGAGAGAGAGTTTCACAGCGCTCTAGTTCAATGTTGAGGTAGAGAGGCGCCCTTCACAGTGTGCTTTCTGAGGTCATTCTGTTCTGCAGGGTTTGTGAAGCGCTTTGGGGCCCTGAGCAGATGAAAGGTGCTATTTAAATGTAAGTGCCACTCATTTATTCATTTACCTTCATCTGATTCCCGTTCCAACCTGTCCGCAATCATACAGTCATACACACAGACCTTCTCACATGTAGCACCACACCAACTGTAGCTTGGGTAAGACACACTAAACGCCTTTATCCACTTTCCCTTCGTCCATTCTGTGTGTTCTTCATTTCATCTAAAACAATAGAGTTTGGTTTCTCAAGTGGTGGGTGCATTATTAAATGTCTTCCAACTGTTTTTGTCCTCGTCCCTGCTCCTCCTATCTCTTTGACCAGGTGCCCTCTCTGCATCTACTCCACCAACAGGCCTGCTGCCATGGAGGGCCATCTGAAGACGCACTACAAGATGGAGTATCGATGTCGCATCTGCCAAGCTGTGTGGGCCAATCAGGCGGAGCTGGATAGGCACATGCGCGCTCATCGCCTGGGCAACCACTACAAATGCGAGCAGTGCGGATACCTCTCTAAAACAGCCAACAAGCTCATTGAGCATGTGCGCGTGCACACCGGCGAACGGCCTTTCCACTGCGACCGCTGTAGCTACAGCTGCAAGCGCAAGGACAATCTCAACCTCCACAAACGGCTCAAGCACGCTCCCAGACAGACCTTTGGTTGCGGCCAGTGCCCATTTACCACCACTCATCCTTTCGTCTACAGCCGCCATATTAAAAAGCACCAAGGCGGGGAGGAGGTTGTGGAGGATATGGCGTCGTGGCAAGGTACGCTACATCCAGGCTTTCTGGAGCGAGGTGGCAGCAGCAGCGGGAGCGGAGACAGCGGCAGCACTAGTCCGCTCACGAACCTGTCTGCCTCTCAAGCCCTGCAGTCCGTCGCTCTGTCAATCACCAGCAAGCAGCAAGGTGGGACACCTGCCAGCCGCTACCTCTCGGCCAACGGCACCTTCCCCATGTTGACCGCTCGCTACTTGGACCAGTACAGGAACTGTGATCTGGCTCAACTCATCCCCCTTACCACGCTCTTCACAGCCAGACGCTTCACATTCCACAACATCTCAACCTCCAACTCCTCTGCATTCACTTCGGAGACGCCAACCTCTCCAACCACAATCAAACACTCCTTCCTAGCGTATCTGGGACTAACTGAGAAAGATAAAACCATCTGACCCATCCCGGTTTCCCTTATCACCTGAGTCAATCGAAAAGTTCAATGCTAGTAGAACAAATAACTGCTTATCCTGAAGGCATTTAATTTCTTTTGTTCTATCACAATCCAACCCAACTCTTTATAAGAGTTCTTAAAACTATTGTTTTCTTCGACACATTGTGAATGACCCGCAATCAAACAACAGTGCTTTATCTCATTTGTATTAGTTTCAATGGGCAAAAAAAATGGAAACATAAGCTCGCAAGTGCTATGCTCTTTTGTGCATTTCGTCAAGAATCCGACAGCATGTTCGCTATGTGTTGCTATTGTCATTTAGGGGCTCGGTATGAAATATCTTGGGGTTGACGGTATATGGCACGAGAAAAACCAATGAAAATTTTTACTTTCAATGCGTCTTGTTTCCAAAGTGAAGCTTCAGACCACGCACTTGTTAATTTATCGAGTT